ACACACACACACACACACACACACACACACACACACACACACACACAAAATCCCACCCCTTCATTTGAATATAAGAGCATGAAATAAAAAGTGCTTTAAATGAAAAACAGAGTTAAAAAACAAAAGCCCCTGAAATATTTAAAGTAGCTTTACAAAATAAGTGTCACAAAATTAAACTCCATTATTAAAAAATAAATAAATAACTAAATAAATCTTGAAATAAATAAAATAAATCTTGAAATAAATAAAATGAATCTTGAAATAAATAAAAAAATCTAAAAAAAAAAAAAAAAAACCTCAACATTTCTATTTAAATGTTTTATTTCATGGGAACATTTATTTGTTTATTAGAATATTTATGAATATTTTTTAAATACCACTATTTATTTATTTATTTAATGTTGAATGAAATGGCTCTCCATACAGTTTGATTTCCGTACATCTTATCACCCTGGAACACAAAATAAATGAGCCTGATTCTTTGATAAACAAACAAAAAGCATGTCCTCAGACTTCTGTATGGAATCTAAAACAGTCATTCTGTCTTTGCTTCGGTGTCGATTGCTTTAAACCCAATCTTCTTCCTTTCTCTCTTGACAGCTACTAAAAACAAACCCAAGTGTCTCTTTTTCTGGCTGATTGTGTTTGAATGACATTTCCTTAGTTTAACACTCGCTTTAGTTCTGTGACATTTTGATATGATCGATCGTGACGCTCCTAAAATCTAATTTTGTCATGTCATATTTACAACGTGGCCATCATACAGCACAGAACACATGGTGAATAAACAATTTGTCAATTAAGTTTTTAGTTAAATTAAAAAAACTGTTCAACACATCAGAAAAAAAGACTAAGCAGCATCCCTTTAAAAATGTTTACATCTAAGATAAGATTAAATAAAAAGAACTCATTCCATTTAATATATATATTCAAAAAAGTCAAGTATTTTATTTTGTTAAAATATTTTTGGTGTGTTTATATTCTGTGTGATAAATGATCTGGATTACTGGATCTCTCACACTTCATTAAACTTTAGTATAATTATTAGGAAATCTGTCGATAAACGATGTTTTGAACAAACCTCACAACATCAGTAAGACAGACTTTGTTGTCACTGGCATGCTATTCAAGCAATGATGTATAAAAATGATTAAAACAAGATCATTTGTTACAAAATGAAGAAGCTAAACTAAAAGAACATTCAGCAAAACTAAAAACCCAAATTTTAATTTATTTCTTCAGTAAAATCATTTATTTGTGCTTACATTCTTTTTGTAATTGTGTGTGTGTTGTAAAACTTTAAAATGTTTTAGGTGCTAAACAACCAATGTTCTTCAACTTTAATTATTGTAAATAAGACATCAATGCAAAACCATTTTGTTCTTCCTCCGAACTTTCTAAAAACATTTCTGTTCTGACATTTGCCTTCAAATCATTTTTCTCTTATTAAAACTGTGCTTTTCCTGCAGAAAAGTTTGAAGCTCCTCCTGGACAGACCAGCGTGTTTCTTTTTTTAAGCAGAGAAACAGACTTTCAGATTTCTGCTCATGTTGTCCAGAGGCGTTCCTTTGTTTCCACTGGAGCAGAAGCTGATGCAGGAGCTGCTTTAAATCCACCCAATCAGGCTCCGAGCCTCAGAAAGCCCCATGTCTGGGGGCTTTGGGATTTATTGGTCACTTACGATCATCAACCATCCAAGTGGGCCTCCAGGGATACGACAACAGGCTTGTCAGAAGAGGGACCTTTGGTGATGTCAATTGTGGGTTCACAGGACAGGGCCAGCTGGGGCATGCTGAGGGCTGGTTGACCCAGTGAGGCTACCATAAATAGAAAACCGTTGGTTTGGTGGTGGCCAGTCCTTGCTGCACCCTTCATCACCTTGGTGCAAAGCTTGGAGGAGGATTTAAGGCTGGAGCCTTGTCGAAGGGCTTCACATCCCACCAGGGATCGAAAACATCTGTAAAACTGGGACAAAATACAATGGAGTCATTAGAAATACACCAAGATGATAGGGCTGCTCCATCTCTCTGATTCATTTGCATTATTTATTGAGCCCATCGGGACAATTAATAAGAGAAAGAAGGGAAATTAAGGCAGTGACAATAGCAGGAGTTGAACACCAGGTGGCGATGTTTGCTGATGATGTGTTGGTCTACATGGAGGAGACAGAGAAATCATTTATAGATCTAATGTACCTTTGAAAGAGGTTTGGAGATCTGTTGGGCTATAAGTTAAATATTTCAAAAACACAAGTTATGACTTTGAACCACACAGCACCAGCAAACTTACAGGGTAGATTTAAGTTAAACTGGGAAGCTGAAGGAATAAAATATTTAGGGTAACAGCGACTAAAGACTTATTAGCTCTATTAGACTAATTATGAGCCAATATCCTTGAAGATAAAGGCATATCTACACAGGTGGAGCCTTGTCTAACATTTAAGCCTGAGCTCAAGAGTAAATGCAATTAAGATGTCGGTGCTCCCAAAAATATTGTAACTATTCAGAACTCTCCCAGTTGAGGTGCCAGACTGGCAATTTAGGGAGTGGGATAGGCAGATATACCAGTTTATGTGGCAAGGGAAAAAGACAAGGGTCCACTATAAAACTTTACAATTAAGCAAGGAAGAAGGTGGCATGACACTCCCATGCCTTAAGTATTATTATTATTATGTCTCCCAGCTTGTTCCACTTCTCTACTGGTGTAACGAGGATTACAAAATGGTAACTGCATTTCCTTCACAAGCCCTGATTGGTGATAGGAGCCTGGTGGTCCAGTTGGGGGAGACAAATTGATGGATAAATCTAACATTAAATATTTGGGGGAAGGTGGTTAATCTGACACAAATTGATAAAATGTTGAACTTGTTCAGGTGACAAAGAATTCCCTCCCAACCAAGACTGCACTTTTAAATCCTGGATAAAGAAAGGTCCTATAACTTATCTGACATTTACAGAAAATAACATTTTTCAAAGTTTCCAGTTTATGCAGAACAGAATTGCAAAATAACAGAGTTTACAACAGCTGATACTGAGATTTATAAGATTTTAGAGTCAGCGTATGGGTCAAAGACAAATATTGATTGCTAGGATATATACTGCTTTGTTTACAAATGATAAAGACAATGTGTCTCAGAAGAAGCCAATCATTACTATATGTTCTGGGGGTGTCCGAAATTGAGTACTTACTGGAGAGACATTCATAAAACCTTAAACTTGGTTTTTGGAATTGAAATACCATTTAATTTTGAGACTATTTTGCTGATGCTGCTATCCAGGAACAGAAAACTATTGCAGGCCTGCTTTGTGGTGAGCAAGAAAAATGTTACTAGAAAATGGCTCAACCCAACTCCTCCTACAGTAGAAGAGTGGCTGGATATTTTCTTAGAAATATTCAAGATGGAAAAGTTAACCCATACCCTGAATATCCAAAGAGATCAATGTTACCGAAGTGGATATAACATGTAACCCCAACTAGAGGCGGATTTATATAACTTCTGTCATGACATTTGGGGTGGCTGTGGCTGAGTGGTTAAAGCAGTCGTCCTCCAATGCAAGATTTGGGGGTTCAACTCCACCAGCCGTCACATGCCAAAGTGTCCCTGGGCAAGACACTGAACCCCTCATAGCCTCTGATGTGTGTCCCATCAGTGTATGAATGTGATAAAGCTCTGATTAGTCTCTAGAATGATTTGTTCAATTAGCTTTGTAGAGATCTAGTAAAGTGCTGTATGAATGGGTAAATGAGGCACTGATTGTGGTGTAAAGCGCTTTGAGTATCTCAATAAGATAGAAAGGTGCTATATAAGTACAGTCCATTTACCATTATATATGACTCCTCCCCCCAGCTGCTGAATGATGTAATACTGTTTTGTATTTTTTCCTCTTACCCCCTTTTTATTATTATTGTTTACTTTTTTCTCCTTGTAACCTCCCCTGGTTCTGATGTACATAGTTCTTATCTTTACTATTTTGAGCTATTGAGATGATACATCTTGGGAATATTTGTAAGTTAAGTGAAAACTAAGAAGAATGTTCTATCAGTTTGTTTGTGGGCTCCACTGTAAATAAATGCATTTGTAAAGTTTGAAAATGACTGCAATTGATAAAGATTGGAAAATGGGAAGATGTTTGTAATATGGAATATCTGCTATGGATCTGATCGGTTGGTCTCTCAACGCAATTGATAAAATTTTCTCAGCGATGAGACAAGCTTCAGGCGAGCCAACCTGTCCTGACGACACGCATGCAGCTGGATATGTCTCTGGGAGAACTGGAATGTGAGGTGTCTATCTCTGCTGTCGATCGAGGATGTCAAAATGTGAGTGGGAAAAGTGAAACACCCACATCTGCCTCCACTAGGCTTGGGCATCGTTTGAATTTGAGCAATTCCAGTTCCAATTCCGGTTCCTATCTATTCCTGATTCTGTCATGAATCACGTCTCTGTATTTTGATCTTTATCACTCTGTTCACTAGTTCTGGTTTCTCAGTCCTGTTCTGTTCTTTTCCTCCTCACTCCTTATCTTCTTCTACCTGGTTCTC